GGAGAGAGAGAGAGAGAGAGAGAGAACAGAGCAGGCATGGTGTGAATATAAGCCAACAACTTCTCTACATTGTATAAGTTGAAGTCAAAAGATTAGACCGAGGTCCGAGGTTAACAACTGCTTATGTCAAAGAGGGTTTTCTGCATCTGGTCTAGCCTACTCGCTTCAGATGCATGTGGAGTCTGCGTTCACATGAAGATATTGTGACAACACGTGTTACAAGTAACAGAGCTTCCTCTTCAACAGAGCGTACACTCTACGCAACAGCTTGCTGGTTTTCTGCAAAGCTAGGGGCCTATGTGAGGTTGTTTACAGTGAATCACGGCAGAGCAAAAGATGTGGAAAGGCTATAAGGTTAACGACAAATGGCTGATCCTATCAGAGTTGGAGGAAAAATCAAAGTAAAAAACCAAACCTGCAAATCTGAGCGACTATGAATCTAACATGCATGTTGGAATTGCATAGGGGGCGTAAGTCATGTAAAATTTTGACCGAATTGTCAAACATCTTCATCTTCCTTGATATAGCCGAAATTTTTTGGGCTTTATAGTGAAATTTGTACATTATAACAAAAAGGTTTCTGCATCCCGCTGATTTGACTATGTACGAGCGAGACTGTAAGATGTATTTTTATAAATTTCTGGTGTTTTTGGTTGTCTGTTCACCAAATTCGTTATCATTTGCTGTAGAGATTTAGCCGAGTTAAAGACTGATATTTAGATACAGATATTGTTTCTATGTGGTTGGTGCTTCTCTGTTCATACCTTACGGGTTGTACTGTGGAGTCCACTTAAGAAGAATTGCATTAATGTATAGACGTTCTTCAGCATGTTCTTTGAAGTCTTTGTGCTTTATAACCATTATTACCTCAGCAGACCCTAGAACACTCAGAAACATTCTCTGCTTCTCGCAACTTTTTTACTTTTTATTTTTCCATAACTTTTTTTTTTATTCCTGCCCATTGCTATCAAATGACCCTTTAGTGTTTTTTGTTGTTGTTTTTTTTGGTAAGTGTTTTACGGCGCTCGCAACTGCATAAGGTCATATGAGCGCGCGGGACACACCTAATACTTTTTAGTTGGTAGGAAATTTTTTAACTTTGCCCCAGTGGCGGCCGAAGCCTACTCTTATCGTATCGATTTTAGACCACCAAGGGATTTTTAACGTGTGCAACTTGCACACGGGCCCTCCAAGATTTTTCGCCCTTGTCCGAGAAGGCTAGGTGCAGATCTTTCCTACCAGAAGATCAGGGGTGTGGCAGAAAGACAGCTGTAAGAAGGAGTCAAGGAGTAGCAGTAGTAAGGCTGCAGAAAGATTCAGGAGCCCAGAGGAGGGAGCAAAGGAGGTGAGGGGGTGGGGGCAGAAAGAAGAGATGAAAGCAGACGACAGAATATTGCTAGAGAGCAGGAAATGAGGTGAAAAGAGACAATTTCAGAGAAGAAAATTTTTCGGTCGCTACCCGGATTCGAACCCGGGACCTTTGAATGAGAGGCCAACACCTTAACCTCTGGCTCAAGGCCACGAGAGCCCCCTTTAGTGTTTTATGGACGAAACAGAATGTACAAATATTGTCCTTATAATGTCTCTTAATATGAGAGAATTACCAGAATTACGATTTAAAAAAAAATTAAAGAGAGCAATGAGTTAGTCCTTATTTGTTATTGTTGCTGGGGATATTTATATTGACGTTCTCATCATCCTTGATATTATTGTTGTTGTTGACACCTTTTCAGTCTGCAGTGATGGAGAATTTTTTGTCAACCCACAGTAGATTGATGTGGGTGGTTTGCTCCTTCGGATCTATCCTATCAAACATCTATTGTCCTCATCTTTCCTCTTTCTTTTTTGTGTTTGTTACTCTATTGTAACACCTCTAAATTTTGGCACTTACATGACCTAATTGTGTTGCAAGTGCAGTAAAACGCTCCCTGAAACGAAGTTTTCATTATTTATATATGTGAGGCAGCGTGGAGGAATCAGGCTCTTGTCAATTTTGGGGCATATGGAGTTATTGGTATTGTCTTAAAGCGTGTTCATTTGTCTTGCTTTCAATGAAAAAACTATCCATCCATCTTCAATAGAAG